TACTTTTCTCTTCAATAAAAAAAAAGAAGTTCCTACGGTTTTTTTCGCCAAATCACAGCTCAATGAAATAACCCTTGTGTTTTCGACATTACCGACGATATCTCCGTTAAAAATCATCGTAGCACGATCGTTTTTTTTTAAATTAAAGCTTGCACTCTCAGCTTCAAAACTGGTCACCAGATTTTTCCTCGAATGCATCTGCGCTGCTGTAGCTTTTAAAATGTAAGGACATGTTTTTACCTAAAAAGTAACCAACTTTGGCCAGGTGCCCGGGCGTAGGAAATTTTTCCTCGCTAATTTTGCTTCAAGTATCAAAAAGTGTGTACTTTTCCCTTCAAGTTAAAAAAAAGAAGTTACTGCGATTTTTTTCGCCAAGTTACAGCTTTTTGAAGTAACCCTTGTATTTTCGTTCATTACCGTCGACATCAGCGTAACCCAATGTGCACGTGGAGGTTGCCGATCGGATTTTACACATTTATGTAGTAGCTATATTCGAACCAATGACGAAATAAGATGTCTCATCTCATGCTCCATGTGGGCTCCAGGATATGTGGAAAGTTTAATTTCATGATGGTAAACTGTAATTGTAATCCGTCAATATTAGGCGGAAAGGTAAAAGAGCCTTATTTTAGAGAACTTGGAGAACCACTCACCATGAAATCGCACAAGAAGCACAAAATGAACATCGGAAAATCAGTTGAGCTTAAAAGATAACGTTGTCAGTACGATCAACAAACTGAATCTAAAAAATGACAGGCCTGACTCAATAAACAATTCTCTCTTTAAAGTAATTGCCAACAATTTACGATGACCTGATGTGACACACTGAAGAAGATCGCAGTTACTTACGTTTGGACTACACATCGGTGATTATATGCTAAAAAGATACATTAGGATATGAAGAGAAAAACAGTTTTATTAGATTTTTATTTTCAAAGTTGCGTCTCATTAATACAATTTTAATCTATCTTTATTCCATTAAATGAGTTCGATAGATAAGCGTAACACAGAAAATAATATTTGTAACTACGCAATGAATCTCTGTGTTTTTCTTTAAGTATAAGAAAAAGCAAGGAAAACGTAGAAAAAAAGGCAAAGAGATTAATTGAACAATATTTCGACCGCATTAGCAGAACTCTGTACGTGGCATCACAGTCTAACATTGTGCTGCCATCTTCGCGATCGTGTAGACTTTCATCTTCAACGATACAGGTAACGACGAGCGTAGAAGATCACACATTGTGTTATGATAATGAAAAGCGAGATGTATCGCGAAAGTTTCAATGTGTAGTACCGGAGTATCGTTAAGCATAAATATTTTAATTGAATTTACATTTCGAAAAGTCCATCTCGGGGTGTTGTTGCATGAACCTAGAAAAATTCAATGAAATTCAGCAGTCAATTCAATATGTCGGCATTAATATGCGATGAAGATATTCTTACTTTTTGATGACGTCCTGCTTCTTCTGTTCATCGGACGTCGGGAGTCCTAATTCCTTCTGCCTCTGATCGTACATCATTTTCTCCACGAGACCCCTTGTCTCTCCGTCGAGATCAGAGAGCTTACTAGGTTCGGGGTTCACTTTCTTCGTGCTGATTTCAGGCTCGCTTGTTATAACATGTGGCCACCATTGCATCTTATTCACCTGTAATCGGCGAACGTCAATTTCATTGCCAATTACACCAAGTATTGCGATTGTTACATTATTATTACACAACGGATTAATAAAACTAATCAATGTACATATATTATAATTGTACAGTATCCTGATTTTACTTGCTTTCTTTTTAAGTACGTATCGATATTTTCAGCCTTTATCGAATAATCAATTTTCATCATAATGTATGCGGTAATCAATTATAATACAGAGTTTCAAGAGATGTAGTACTGGATAACATCTGGCAGAGTCACGAAATGTTTACCTGATCGGACACGAGATAATTAATTGGATAAGCGCTTAATTAAATGCCATAACTCGCTATCGAAGGACATGTCGGTCTGCCAGATTCGTTAAACCGATCGGTCACACGTATTTTAAATCTCTGCGGCTGGACAATCTTAGAACTGGCGGAATCACCGCGTCCTGGCATGGCCGAGGATCGGCGAGGCTGCGAGAAAAGTGTCGCGTGAGGACCCGCTACCGCGCCCAACGGCTCACCTTTTCCACATTAATCAGCAATAGTTTTCCGTCCTCAATTACCCAAGTGGATTCCTCCAGTTTGACCTCGTTTGGGAAATCTCCAGCAAGAATTGGCGGATGGCCTTTCAGGCCGCAGCTCAGGTGTTTCTTTGCGATCGACACGACCACGTCTCTCGGTCTGACCGAAAAGTTTACCTTTAGCGGCACTCTAATCTGTAAAAAGTGCAATTTGCTCGTTTATTATGTTCCCTCGAACCTTAATCTTATATTCACATGTGGCGGCCACGAAACTAAGCATAAAAGGACATTTTGTCGAAACTTATTCGCGTGATGAAAACCAAAGTAAAGGGTGTTCTATTTAATGCTAAAACTATCGGAGATTTATCTCGTTTCCATTATATAAATATAATACTGTGCGTGAGCCTGGAAACAAGATAAAGAGGGAAAATTAATTAATTACTTTAATCATCCTTATATTGTGCAACAAAAGTCACTTCAGAAAATGCAGCGTTATAGATTTAATAAAAACTTATAATCTAGTTATTTGAACTTTGATAGTTCTAGTATTAAAAGAAATAGTATACATTTATACATTAAAAAAAATCAAAATTAATAACAGCACGAAAGTACAAACTCGATTGTTCGTGTGTGAAAATATCCGTGGTATGTTTAATTTAGTCCCATATAATTTAATTTATTTAACGCTCAAGATGGCTCTCAAAGTGGAGCCGAAATTCCTTTATTGTATTATGAAACTAAATGAAATTAAAACCAATTATATTTTAACACATGAACAGCCACGTTTGTATTCGCGCGCACTTATTAATTTCAGTTTTTGAACTTTGAGAGTTGTTATTATTTTATATATTTTTCTATTCTTAAAATCCCCGCTCCCTAGCCTTTTTAATCGATACAATGAATTTATATCGATTTGTTTTCACGCATCTTCATACAATGACATGCAAGGACTCCGCAGACTCTCACCATCGTGGATGGTGAGTTGATACCTCCAAATAAAGAGAGAATGGATGGGGAGGGTGAGAATTGTTCCCAGTTTGTTTTGTACGGGCGCGCTTTTTGTCCTTCTACGATTACGATCTCGTTGCGGATCATTGTGATCCGAATCTCGTGACCTCGGACTCGGATTTCGGAAACGAAAAATCGTAATGACCTTAGAAGGGAACCTTGAACGTTTGGGAGGTACGTGGGGGCACTCGAATCTTTCGAGCGCGAACTGGAGGATGAAAGGTGCATTGTAATGATTCACGAAGCGAAATGGCAAAGGTCCGGCATTCCCGGGACACACTTCGTTAGCCACGAAGAGTACTCGCTTTAATTGATGGCAAGGCATACATGGACCAGATCTTGACTTTGGGTCATTGTCAGTTCAAGAGGGTCAAGAGTAGAGTGATCACGCACGCGAAAGTGTTTGCTCTACCACGAAACCGCTCGTATCTGGAGTGTCGAACAATCGCTTCGCTAGTCGGTTATTCATTTGCGCGAATCGTCTGAGTCACACCGTCGAGTCAATGAAAACCATAACAGTCGGGTAATTTGATATTCATTAAAACTTAATACCGCGTAACATATTCCACCTATTAGAAACGTGTCATGATCTTGAATTCTTAATTTAATTAGCTTATCGCGGACAGTCGCGCTCGGACCTTCGTCTCGACGTGAATTATAAAGCGAATAGCAAAATTCATTAACATATTCATATACTGTCGCGACGGAGTGGTTTCTACACGCGCTAGACGTACGTTTTTGTATTTTAATTTCAATTTGTGACGGGTAAACAATTCAAGCCGCTTAAGTTTATTACGCATGCAAATCCCGCTGCATTATCTTAAACCTTCTCTCGAAATTTATCGATTCGCGTTACTCAGGTGACAAGGTAAGGTCTCACGCATTTACGTAATTTTCGCGCCGCAGCTTTGTGCAACTCGCGACCGCGTGAGCTGTCACGCGCGACACGGTATCTCAAGTCCCGCAATTAGCGTTTGGGCTATCAATTGAGATGATATATTTACTTGTTGCCCACTCTTTATGATACATCGGTTTCCAACAACGGAGAACGTGGCGGCTCGCACCGCATCGCGACTATCCGACTCATCTCGCAGTTGCTCGTTCTTGGATTTCCAGAACGACGACGTGGCGGCGGAGCCGGGTGCACCGGTGCGTGGAAACGGATCATGGCTACCGACTTTGCGCCCGACGTTAACAAAATGGAATATCATTATAAAAGCGGGACCGCGAGAAGGCGAGGAAGAAAACGGTAAGATTGCTCACTTTGCCGAGGTCTGTCCTAAGTAGACTGTGATGTATAAAGCTTAATACGCTTTAACAATCTTGGAGATGCTCGTGGTATCCTCGCTGTACAGTTAACATTCGCGCGTTATAATTAAGAATTCACGTTGTTAGAGGTTTGTCTTTCGCACACCCAGAAAAAAGATTTATTTAGGTTAAACAAATGAGATACGTTGAAATTTGTTTCTTTGACTCTACTTTGGTAGATTTGAAGAAATAGATATGAATTTTCTTAGAGAGTTTCAATCGAATAAAATTTTAATCAAGGTAAAGAAATCATTTCTTTGAATTAAATTAAACAAGCTAATACGCTTTAATAATTTTGGAGATGCTCGTGGGATCCTCGCTGTACAGTTAATATTCACGCGTTATAATTAAGAATTCACGTTGTTAGAGATTTGTTTTTCGCACACCCAGGAAAGATTTACTATATTTAGGTTAAACAAATGAGATACGTTGAAATTTGTTTCTTTGAATCTACTTTGGTAGATTTGAAGAAATAGATATGAATTTTCTTAGAGAGTTTCAATTGAATAAAATTTTAATCAAGGTAAAGAAATCATTTCTTTGAATTATATTAAACAAGCTAATACGCTTTAACAATCTTGGAGATGTTCGTGGGATCCTCGCTGTAAAGTTAACATTCGCGCGTTATAATTAAGAATTCACGTTGTTAGAGATTTGTTTCTCGCACACCCAGAAAAAAGATTTATTTAGGTTAAACAAATGAGATACGTTGAAATCTGTTTCTTTGAATCTACTTTGGTAGATCTGAAGAAATAGATATGAATTTTCTTAGAGGAACTCAATCGAATAAAATGGTAGTCAAGGTAAAAAAATCATTTATTTGAAATGAAACAAAAATCCAGCAAGGTCAAAATCCAAAGAAAATTTGTTTGATTTCAAAGAAACTTTTTTTTCTGGGGGCAATCGCAATGATACTCGCGTTCCCTCTTTTACTATTCGGCAATGTTTTCTCGAACAATGCTCTGAAGCAATACTGTTTTCTTATCCCAGTACAGGGGGCTTCGACTACAACGGTCGAATTCTCGTCAATGCGTTACCGTCAAATCACACGTGCTAAATAAACGCGGCTGGTTTTTTACAGTTTGAAAACTGGCGTGCAAAGATCAGCTGTTCTTATGTGTGTCATGACTGGTAATCACAGCTGTATTGACACAGCTCGCAGGAGTTTTTGCCGAGTAAAGAATTGATTTGATTATCTTTGATTACATGTAATAAAGATTTAGAAGCGTGCTTTGCGTTCAAATAAGATCGCTTCAAATAATCTTAGCAGAGAGATCTTCGATTCCTTCCGTATTTGCACTCGTAAATGATTTTATCCCGGACGTCTATGAAACATCGGGATGTAAGTTTTCGAAACGTAAAAAATATCATTGGCTCATTGTTCGCGCATTTCATTGCTGCTCTTACTACTTAAACCGGGCACCCGCATGAAACAGACGTGTCGTACTGATGCTGTTCGCGACTGCGAAGACTTGCGAAACTGTGCCACGGCATAGCCGGTATATCCTGTAAGGTGTTTTCGAAACGCACATAGGCTTTAAAAATGGCATGGAGTTCGCACATTATAAGAATTCCGTCTCGAAGCTCCGTTCGGGATTTCGGCACTCGATTTGTCGCCGCGAACGGACGAGCGTGACTTCGAAGGCTATTACGGCCGTGTGTCGCGTCGCCTCGTTCGTGGATAATCGATTTATTTGGCGCTTCGCCGAAATCCTTGATAAAGAATCGGCCACGTTTTACTCGTTTGCGTAACCGAATAGTTCGCTCGTTACTCACGGTGACGAATATCGCGCCTCTTCTCGACGCGCGAGATCTCGCGACGAGATCAAAATTTGTAATCGCGATGCCGCGCGATACATGAATGCGCGAGCGATTGTAAGACTTTTCTATTCGTGAAAATTCCCGCGGTAATAAACATCAACGACAAAATAAAATTAATCGCCGCGGACATAGAGAGGCTCGACTGATGCATACGACATCTCAACGCACCAAGGACGACGCAAGCAAAAATATGCGCGAACGAGTATGACATACCTCTTTAATAAGTAGAAAAAAACTGGTTTAGTAAAATGTTAGACAAACGTTGCAGCGACTCTTCAAGACAAAGATATACTCGATATCAAGAATACTTGTCGGTTTTGTATTTCAGTTTGTTTTGTCCCGTCTTAATTAAAAGACTGGCTCTTCGTTCCCTTCTTTCGCTTTCAGAGTAGCTGCTGACAGAGACATGCAATATTAAACGCGTGATTAAAGAGAAAAAGAAAAAAAAGCACCAAAATTCGATGGGTTGCAACATCGTTAGGAAAGGGGACACATATTTGCTTATCGATTAGACATTAAGGCTCAGTTTTTCACTTTCTGGTTAACTGTTAATCACAAGATTAATCTTTCTTTATATTATTATCTAAAAAGAGTGAATGAATTAACCTCCGGTTGAAGTTGAAGATTACTTCGTAACCGTCTTCAAATTCATAATCACGAAGGTGCACTGGAAGATAGATAATGTTGAATGTACACAGTAAAACTCCATTAGGAAGGAAACTTTATTGAAGCGTAACAAATTATCGATTTCGAACGATGAAAAATCTTACGTAATGACAGTGGAGTATCAAAGGAAAGACAGGAATAACCTGTATAAAGATGGCCATTTATATTGACGGATTCCATTTGTACCTATTAACGCGAATAAAGATTGATTCATAAACGCTTATTCCGGCGTCGAGCGAACGAGTGAAGTAATAACATACAGTAATTGATTCTGCGTGAATCTTGGACGTCAGCATTAAATATTCATAGCGACGATAACGGGCGGATGAAGGAGGAACTTGGTGCGGCAGAAGACTGGGAGCAAGTAAGTACGCGAACGTTACCAGTGACGG